ATTACAGGCATGAGCCACTGTGCCTGGCCTAAGATACTTTTTTTTACTACCTGTTTGTATTGAGAAGCTCAATTCATTAAAAATTGTACCTAAGAACTTCTAAGCATTTTGTCATTTCAGAAACTTTTTCTTTGAATATTTGATTAAAAAATATTGTCTCAGCTCGGCGCCTGCAGCTTAGCAGCTAGGGCACCAGCCACATACACTGGAGCTGGAGGGTTCGAATCCAGCCCGGCCCTAAACAACAACTACAACTAAAAAGTAGTCAGGCGTGTGGTAGGCTCCTGTAGTCCCAGCTACTTGGGAGGCTGAGGCAAGAGGATTACTTAAGTCCAAGAGTTTGAGGTTGCTGTGAGCTATAACACCATGGCACTCTACTGAGGGCAACAAAGTGAGACTGTCTAAAATATATATATAGATATATGGATATATATTCTCTCACCTTTCCACATTTTTAATCTAATTAATAGGTGGACATCTTTTTCAGATTTTCAGTTTCATCACTTTCCTAACCTTTTCCCATATCCCTGCTTCCTCCTTTAAAAACATTTCCCTTTCTATATTCATGCTACCAATTCCGTTTAAAAAAAAAAAGAGGAGGTGGTAGCAATTCCTTCCTAAAGATTCTTTGATATACATAGGAACCATTTTTATTTATTTATTTATGGAGTCTCACTATATAGCCCTGGGTAGAGTGCTATGACATCACAACTCATAGCAACCTCAAACTCTTTCTTGGGCTTACGTGATTCTCTTGCCTCAGCCTCCCAAGTAGCTGGGACTATAGGCACCCACCACAATACCTGGCTATTTTTTGTTGTAGTTGTTGTTGTTTAGCTGGTTCAGCTGGGTTCAAATCCACCAGCCTTGGTGCATGTGGCTGCACTGTAATAACGGTACTATGGGCGCCAAGTCTGTAGGAACCATTTTAAATCAGTGCTGTCCTCCTTGGATATGAGATGAAATGACAGAAGGCATAACCTAATTATTTGGAAACTGGAATTTTTTTTTTTTTGAGACAGAATCTCACGCAGTTGCCCTAGGGTTGAGTGCCGTGGAGTCAAGTCATAGCTCACAGCAACCTCAAACTCTTGGGCTCAAGTGATTCTCTTTTCTCAGCCTCCCAAGTAGCTGGGACTATCGGCATTCACCACAACACTGGGCTATTTTTAGTAGAGTTGGGGGGTCTCATTCTTGCTCTGGCTGGTCTTGAACTCCTGGAGCTCAAGCAATTTGCCTGCCTGGGCCTCCCAGAGTGCTGGGATTATAGGTGTGAGCCATCGCTCCTGGCTCTCATGTAATCTTTCCATAAGATAAAAAAAGAATGCCTTATAAATAGGTATCTCAGAATAAGGAGCAGAAGCAATACTTAAAGTAAAAAAAGTAAGAATCTAAAGTAATCAAGACACAGATAGGCCAGTAATAGATAACGAACAATACCTCTTAATAGTATCTGATGAAAATAAAACCAAAATAACATTCTGTTATATTGAACTTTTATTTCAATATATTTTAATAATATTAATGTTCAGAATTTTTGTTTTATATACTTTACAAATTCCATAAAAACATAAATCTATCTCTGAGGGAGATCCTTATATAAAAATAATGGAGCTACCTGGATTAAATAGACTTGCTAATGTAATCACTGTTAAGTACTTCTTCAACCCTTCCCAGCTGTTGAGGTAGTTCAATGAAGAATACTCTTCTGTCTCTTAATGGATGATCTCTATGAATTTTAACCCAATAAAGCACAAATAAAACAGAATAAGCATGGTTGTGCTTGCTACTCCCATGGTGGTATCACTCAGAAAATAACAACCCACCTAGGAGGGAAGGAACTCTGGCATGAATATGAGCAAAGAGAAAAGATACATTCAAACTCTTATATGGCACTGAAAATTTAAACTGTATTCTACTAAACCCAGTCCCTGAACGCATAAACCCCTTGAGTTTTTGGATTTGAAAAAATTAACTTCATTCATTCATTTATTTTTAAACAGAGAAATTTAAAGACAAGTGTATTCCCGTCACCAGAGGTCTGTTTTCTGCCGTGAGACAGGGATAGTTCATGAGATCAAACTAAGGACTGAAAAACTATTCTTCGAGAATAATTACCACGTTTTACTCTTACTCTACTTTCTCTGTGGTATAGGCTGCACATTCTATCCTATTAAGAAATAAAGAAAGGGGGTGGCACCTGTGGCTCAAAGGAGTAGGGCGCCAGCCCCATATACCGGAGGTGGTGGGTTTAAACCCAGCCCTGGCCAAAAACTGCAAAGAAAAAAGAAAGAAAGTAGGGTAAACTAACATTTGGGGAAGAAGTGTTCAACCTTTGTATTTGATAAATTATTTGAGGCTCAGTATCTCTTTATAACATTTTTGATTACACGAGTTTGGAGCTTGAGTTCAGCGACTAAAATTGATTGTAGAGTAGATCTGTATTTATTCACAATCGCAGAAAGAGCAGATTGGAGAATAGCAGAGCAAATGAGTCAAGGATGTGGGCTTCAGAGCCAGACTACTTGGGTCTGGAATCCGGCCTTGCTATTTACTAGTTGTGCAACCTTGGGCAAGTCACTTTCATATTTGGTTCCACATCTTCCCCACCTATAAACTCGAGATGGTTATAAGGATTAAAAGATGTTAATTATACTATGCATAATGTACTTAGATCAGAGTTTGGCTCATTGTAAACACTCAATAAATATTATTTGTTTTCAGTGAGTTACCCATAAAACACATTAATTCAAAAGTAGAGAGTATAGGTGGCTGCATACAGTGAGACCAAGGAGAATACAGTAAGGGAAACACATAGCTCAAATGTGTTGTGTTGAAGGTTAGCATCTGGTAATCACTCTCATGGTGTACTCTTAGCTCTGCTTAAGGGTGAAGATTTAATCCATCAGGCAACTGGGAGCTGCATTTTAGCTCAAAACTCCTGTTAGCCCCAGATAATAAAGACCTCTCTTGGACAGTGGTCATCTTGAAGCCACAGTTGGCATATAGTATGCCTCAAAACAAACCCAACTGACTATAAATCATGGATAAATCTGTTCCTAAAGATGTCTTGGGCTTGGTGCCTATAGCTCAACCGGCTAAGGCGCCAGCCACGTATACCTAAGGTGGCGGGTTCGAATCCCCAGCCCTGGCCCACCAAAATAACAATGATGGCTGCAACCAAAAAATGGCCAGCCTATAGTCCCAGCTACTTGGGAGGCTGAGGCAGGAGACTCGCTTGAGCCCAGGAGTTGGAGGTTGCTGTGAGCTGTGAGGCCATGGCACTCTACCCAGGGGGATAGCTTGAGGCTCCGTCTCAAAAAAAAAAAAAAAAAAAGATGTCTTGGCAGAGGGATGGGGGGCAGGGATGAAAGGAGTAGGATTGGGTGAATAAGGATTCATGTTGCTCACTGTACAACAAAAACTCAATGGAATTCACCATTGGATATTTCTGTTCTTTATCTACCAGTTGTCCTACTTCCTTTCTCTTTTCCCACCTCCAAGAGGCCTTGCCATTTCCGAGCTAGTTGAGCTCTGGCTCTCTGCTTATGTTCCTCGACCAAACAAGAGCCTGAGAATTAGACTGCCAGTGATCAACTTTCTATCTTCCTCCCCTTCCACATGGAAAATTTCTGCTTGTAAGAAAATTTTCTCCATCTAAGCTTAAAGCAGATATGGGTACTCAACAAATAATAATTCTTGTCCTAGAGCCATTTGAAGATCTGAAAATAGTTGTAGGAAGGAGAAATAGGAAAATGGGGTGGGGGGAAGTTGAGAAAGAGAGGAAAATGTGCATATATTGGGATAGACTTAGTGTTGTATCACTTCAGAAATTTTTCTTGCTTGAAGGTTTATTTGTTTATTAAAAAAACCTTTAAGGGGGGCGGCACCGGTAGCTCAGTGGGTAGGGAGCCAGCCACATACACAGAGGCTGGTGGGTTTGAATCTAGCCCAGGCCAGCTAAAAGTAACAATGACAGCTGCAACAGAAAACTAGCCAGGCATTGTGGTGGGCACCTGTAGTCCCAGCTACTTGGGAGGTTGAGGCAAGAGAATCACTCAAGCCCAAGAGTTTAAGGTTGCTGTGAGCTGTGATGCCACAGCACTCTACCAAGGGTAACATAATGAGTCTCTGTATCAAAAAAAAAAAAAAACTTTTAGGGGAAAGGGAAAGGAGGAAGAAAGGCCATAAAGGATTTCATAAAAATATATCATTCAATATAAAAGTGTAAGAATGGGTTGTTATTTTAATCTCTTTTTTTTTTGAGACAGTCTCACTATGTTGCCCTCAGTAGAGTGCTGTGGCATCACAGCTCACAGCAACCTCCAACTCTTGGGCTTAAGCGATTCTCTTGCCTCAGTCTCCCAAGTAGCTGGGACTACAGGAACCCACCACAACCCCTGGCTATTTTGTTGTTTTTGTTGAAGTTTTCATTGTTTTTTAGCTGGCTGGGGCTGGGTTCAAACCCGCCAGCCTCAGTATATGTGGCTGGCACCATAACCACTGTGCTATGGGCGTCAAGCCAGTTATTTTAGTCTTTTTTTTTGCAGTTTTTGGCCAGGGCTAGGTTTGAACCCACCACTTCTGGCATATGGGGCCAGCGCCCTACTCCTTTGAGATACAGGTGCCGCCCCAGTTATTTTAGTCTTAAGATTATTGATAATTAAGGAGCCTGGGCATTGACAAAAGAGCCAATAATACACTAACATTAACATTTATTTAGTATCTCCTTTGAAGCTGTCCTTGAACTGTTTATTGTAACTGGAAGTTTTTGCATCATCTGGCATGCCTAAAAAACTCAGTAGATTTTCCACTATATCTGCAAATTAAAACTAAGGGCTGCCCCCCCCCCAAAAAAAAAACGTGTTGCAAGTAATTAAATGGGTGGAAGTAGCTTCATGCTGGCATTGTTTTAAGTCTAAAATAAAGAAATGGGTCATTAGTCACTTCTGTGGTTTCTAAAAGTATTAGCTTTTACCTGACTTGCTTGCCTTGCACTTCTAGGTAGGGAGACAGCCCATGAGCTTCCTCAACCAGGAAACCCTCTGCTCAGGCTCTGGCTCAGCCTTCACCTTCTGGACTTGGAACAGAGCTTGGGCGGCGATGACGCGCAGAGAGGGCTCAGGGTCATGCAGAAGATCTGTCAGATCTAGGGGCAGGAAAAGCAGGTTAGAGGTGAAAGCCCCTGAGATCTATGGGAATGAACATCGCTCTACATACCAAGAAGCTCACATGCCCATAGTAACTGAGATAAAGGACAAACTTTTTCTAAGCCTCTGTCTAAAAGTTTATCTGTGAATCAATTCCAGTTTTGACCTACAAGATTTACAGGTTTCTGAGTAGTCAAATATTTCTTTGCAATAATCACATTCTAAAAAGTCTACTTAAAGTCAAATTATCTGGATCTGCCAAGCCATGTTCATGTTAATCTCTAAGTTCCTGTGTTAGTCTTGGAGGTAACTCTTAAATCATTGTTCCTTTTTAATTTTTCAAAAACTTTTTATTTTTGAGTTTTCTTACTGCCAAAGAAATACACGTTCATGATGTAGAAAATTTAGACACTGCATGAAAGCATGAGAAGAAAATCAAAGTTGCCATAGTTCTATCTACAAATAACCATTGTTATTTTGAGTGTTTATCTTTCTAGTCTCTTTTTTTTTTTTTTGAGACGGAGCCTCAAGCTATCCTCCTGGGTAGAGTACCATGGCATCACGCTCACAGCAACCTCCAACTCCTGGGCTCAAGTGAGTCTCCTGCCTCAGCCTCCCAAGCAG